TATGTGAAGACATGTTCTGTACATGTATGAAAAGAGAAATTATGTGATTTCTTCTATTGTCATGTGTCCTTGACTCTATCTTATGTTTGAAATTATGACATGTTAGGAGCTCTGGTAGCATAGTGCCTAAGGCACTTGACTGCTCACCAGAAGGCTGGCAGTTCAAACCCACCAGCCACTCCTCGGAAGGAATGTTGGGCAATCCTACTTCCATAGTGATACTGCCTTGGAAACCCAAGGAGGGGTCGCTATGAGTCGGGGCCTACTCGACAGCAAACAACAACAACAATAACAACAACAGAGGAGCCCAGCACATCCAGCACTGCCAAAGCACTGGCTTGTATAATTCAACAGAAAACATAGTTTAAAAGCTCATCTTCACCTGACAAGAGCTAGAGTTTCTCCAGAACTCATATTGTCTTCACTTGAATTAGAGTGTTTTGTGCTAATTGTTTATTCCTCCATATTTAAAGACTGTCTACTGTCTTACCTTTTATTTCCCCAAGTGAGAAAAAATTCACTCAAGTATGAAGGAAGGTTGGGCAATCCTACTTCCGTAGTGATACTGCCTCGGAAACCCAAGGAGGGGTCGCTATGAGTCGGGGCCGACTCGACGGCAAACAACAACAAACAACATGAGACTATGGGTGAAAATTTTCCTCAGATTCAGAAAATATTGTTCTATGTACAGATTAGAGCATCACCAAAGAGTGTGTTCAGGAACTCTGTAGGATATACCTCCAAATTCATGCATGGAAAAACATATGCAGCTCATCTAACCCAATGAGATGCCTGTGAGGATGTAAAGAGATGAAACTTGACCCTTAGCATCCACAAGGATCATCTTTCAATTCTTTATATGGTTGTCTTTTAAAAGCTGTTGCTGAAAAAAGAACCTAATTTTTGCATCTTCCAATTATTCAGAAAATTTAAAAGCTTATATTTGACACATACGCCTAAAGACAAGATTAAAAAGGTGTGATATGGAAAGCCTTCCAATCATGTGTGCACAGGAGGCAAATATGATGATTCCCATCAAGTTCAAGATACAAATATGCTCCCAAAGCTCTCTAATGGAAAAGATGATGTAGTTTCTAATCTCAGATCTTGAAGACCCCCCTTGTCCAGTTTAGGTTTTTGATAGATCAATAGCTCTGAAAGCTTATGTAAAAACTTACATAAGAAAACAATGTATTTGAAAGAGAAAATTAAATGACTATGAGATAGAATAAAATGCAGTCTAAATAAAAGACAGAGGATGGCAATGTAATAAATTCAAACAGATTGTATTATGCCTGAGAAAGTTAAGCACATATTTAGGTAAGAATTTCTATTATAAATTTTAGAGGAAAAATAGCTGTGGTGATGTTGTTGTTTGTTGTCGTCTAGTTGATTTTGACTCGTGGCAAATCCATATGCCTAGAGTAAAACTGTTCCATGAGATTTTCAAGGCTGTTACCTTCCAAAAGCAGCCAGCCAAGCCTGTCTTTCCAGATGCTTCTGCGTTGGTTTTGAACCACTAACATTTTGGCTAGTAGTCAAAGAGCTTATCCTTTTGCACCATCCAAGGATTTAAATTTTTTTTTTTTAAAAAAAGCAAAATAATGACCAAAAAATAATTCACAGGCCAAGAAAACAGCTGAAAGATGAAATAATATTTTATGAAATATTTTCATAAATGTTTCTTTTTTAAGAAGAGATTTGTAGTCATTTTTATAATGTAAGGCATCAATAATAATTTGGGAGAGGAAAATGAGCAGGAGCTATTTCTCTTGCATCCCGATGCAGACAACTTGTCTTTCTGGATAAGTTACCTCCAACCTTGTAGAATAATATGTTTTAAAGGGAATTTAAAACTAACAGAACTAAATACCAGTACTATGTCCTTTGATATACTGGATAAATTTACTTTTTAATTGATGTTTTTTAGCATTTTAAACTTCTATTTTGAATATTTTTAAAGTTTTTGATATATATGTTTTGTTGTTAGTTGCCCTTGAATTAATTCCTTCTAATGGAGGTCCCATTCAGAAGGAAATCTAAAGTCTTGTCTTTTTTTTGCCTCTGGGTGGGTCCAAACCACCAACATTTTGGTGTCAAAAGCTTAACCATTTGCACTGTCCAGGGATTCCCTCAAGCATTTAATATAGAGGATTTATTTGTCTTCTATAAGGCAAATAAATGCTCTATCAGAGATAATGCAAATGTATTTACCAACACTTGAAAAGATATAACAGACATTTAAGATAAATTTGTATCTACACTGGCATAACTGAACATAAAATATATTCAGAAATCTCAGCCTACATGACCCAGAGACAAGAAGAAGTAGATGGTGCCCAGCTGCCATCACCAACCACTCAGAAAAGGATCAAAATTAGAGATCCCAGATAGAATGAGAGAAATAAATGTGGAACAAAACTAAAACATAAAAATGTCTAGAATTATTAGTTAAAGAGAGACTGGTGAAACCCTTGTGACTGTAGCACAAGATTACCCTTTGGCATGGAATTGGACCCTCCAGAGACTTAGTTCTCAGTCAAACAACTGACAAGCTTACAAACTGAACAGCTACACCAGGGAGATGTACTCCTTAAAACAGATGAAAGTGAGAGTGCAGAAGGGCAGCATTTGCACAGGGGGAAAGCTGGATAGATGAGGAAGCATAGGTAAGAAGGACACAAGGAAGGGGTAACCAGAAGGAGGAGGTCGGAGGAGAGCTGCTCCGTTATGGGGATTGTAATCAATGCCATGAAACAAAATGTTTATGAGCTATCGAGTGTAAAAAACTTGCTTTGCAAAATTGCACCCAAATCACAATATAAATAAATAGCTAAATAAAACAATATCAAATGCAAAATATTTGCAGAATATCCTTATTGGTCTCTGCATTTTACTGGATCTTCAATAGCTGTATTTATGGTAATTATATTCCTATTTAACATCTTAATATTATTTAAATATTAACAGAATACTGTACAAATAAAAACTTATTCTGGACATATCCTTGATAAAAAATAAATTAAATTAAATGCATCATTTTTCATAAAAAAAGTAAAATAAATGCCTTTCCAATTTTATCATCTCTCTCTCTTTCCCTTCCTTCTTTTCTTTTTGGCAACTTAAATGTGTATAACCTTCTATTTAAAGTAGTTTCATAGTTTGTCTGTCCTATAAAAACTTTCTCATACTTTATTTTTCACACTTTTAGTCATACTTTTGTTATGCTTTTACAGCTAGTGTCCCTCCAAAAATCAGTTGAACTGCTTTTCTAAATTATTTCAGAACTTCCCTTGCTTAAGATGGATGCCTTTTTCTTCATGTTGAAAACAGTTCCAACAGCAGATAATTCAGGTCATGTTTACACTAATTACTGAAATAAAGCCAAAACTTTGTGCTAAGCGTTAAGAATATCTTAGGTATAAAATTTTAACTCTGAGGATCTCATACTTGTAAAGTTGTGTTGTTGATGGTAAGTGCATTATCTTAGATTGTGTCTTTATATTCTGAACACATTCTCCTTGAGAGAAATTTGGGTCCAAAGAGATTTTTCTCTTGTAATGATAAACTTCAAAACCATTTGCTGAATCCAAGGAGAATCTAGAGTCTGGCTGGTCTAAATATGAGCACATATAAAATATTCCTTATGACTTTCTCCAAATCTCATACTCTGCCTCTACCTACAGTGAAAAATAAATGTGTCTTTGGAAAATAAATAAGATTGTTATGAAATCTGTCATATCTATTTTCTTATCTTTGAAGTAACTGCTGCACTGCATCCAGCAGTAAAAAGGTAGGTTTTTAAAAACCCAACAGGTATGTGAAGATTATTATTATTATCGGCCAGTCAAGGCATTATTCAACTACAAATTCTTTATCTGTGAAATGAAAATATATGTACTGCATTGGTTTCCTGACAGCATTGTTAATACTGACTCATATTTTCAAATAGCACTCGTGATTTGTGGTATAATTACTTGGAAAGAATAATAGGAGTAAAATATTTGGTACTCTGCTTAGGAGACAAATTTTCTTAATTTTGTTAAAAATATTTAAATTCACTAATATTGGATTCCATAGGGACAAATAGAGTCTTTACCATGATATATACTGTTGTTTAGATTCTTGATAAGAAATGTGACATACATCCCACACCTTCTCCAGGGTGGATAACTTATTTGTTATTTTGTTTCTAAGGCAATATCCCTTATTCATATGATCCCAAGGAAGATTACATAATTATTGTGTTAACCAAAGAAAACCAAATAAACAAAACAAAAACAAATCATGTAATAAAGACCTCGATGGTATTTAAAAGCTGTCCCTCACTCCCAAAATACATGTGGGGTGGAAGCAGGGAAGGTAGAGAGGTGTATATGAATAAGCAACAACAATAAAAAAGTAAACATAGTATGGTGGGGTTTCTTTTCTGGAAAATTCTCTCAATATGTGACTTTTTGTACTTTTTCTCCCTTCCATTTGTCAGCTACAGTGACATGGTGCCTGCATGTGCTGCTTCTCTTTCCCTGGAGGCTGTGCAGCAATAAATTCCCGTGAAATAATAGCATGTGATCATTCTAGTTACAGCAGTTAATAACTAGTTAAGCGACATTTCCCTCAAATGGCTGTTTTCATCGCCTCAAAACAGTCTCTTTCATCCCATCCCATTCTTCCCCTCCTCTGCAACAATGCCCCAACTTCCTCCTCAAATCTCTAGCTCCTAGCCCCAGCAAACAATGCAAACCTACATACAACTGTATTGTCCTCTTTAGCACCAAGGAATCGGATCCTCCAAGGCAAGAACGATTCAATTTACGGGTAGGGGCCAAACTGCAAAATAAATAAATGCTTCTGGGCTCTGGAAGGAACAGAGTCGGAGCAGCCAAGCCTTCTCTCTTGTGGGCTGCCAAGCCGAGATCCCCGCAGGTGGGGAGCTGTCCAGCGCGCTGAGAGTTAAAGGCATCATCGCAGCCATTAGAGGGAAAAGTTGCAGCGTTGTAAGCCCTGTGAAGTCCAGCCCTCCCCCCTTGCCCACTCCCCACTTCTCAAGCTGGTTTGGTGTTCAGGGAGGGCAGTGATCACGCAAGCCGGAGCAGCAAACTGACGTTGGACGAGCTATCAGGTAGCTGAAAGCAGGCAGCGAAGCAGCGGAAACACGTCCAGCGTTCCAAGCCTGGGTCTGGAGTCAAAGCCTCTCGGAATCTGAGCCAGCTGGTTTTAACCTTCGCGAATTGCAATCCCATCTCCCCAACGACAGTCCTCCCAGAGCGAGCAGCAGGATGTTTGCAGTGTCGCGCCCAGGGCTCTGAGACTGAGCCTTCTGATAGATTTGCATGTCTTTCTTTTAGGACTTTTTGGCTGCTAGCTACACTGATGTGACCCCCTCCCTTTGGAATGATGGGGATCTTTTTGGCATATGTTGGATTTGTTTTCTTTTCTGTTTTATATGTACAACAAGGGCTTTCTTCCCAAGGTAAGTCTGTGCTCACTGGCAAATATACATTTGTTTGGTGTGTGTGTGTGTGTGTGTGTGTGTGTGTTCTGCACATTCAAAGAATGGCCAGGCAGATGTAATAAGATTTCAAGTAACAGTGGGTTTAGGTTTTATGAAGAGTGTTCTGTCTGGCATTTTTCTTTAAAGTTTATAAAATTTTAGGCAAGCTATGTTTGAGATAAACCTAGCTGGTGCCTGCCAATGGAGTGGGTTCCTGAGTGAGCACAAATAGGGCATGGGGTTCTCTCTCTCTCTCTCTCTCTCTCTCTCTGTGTGTGTGTGTGTGTATGTGTGTATCTGTTCTTCTATCTGTGTGCATGCACAGGGTAACCACTCATGCATACATAACCATCACAAACAGAGAATTGGGGATGGGGGACTCTCCATTGCCAGTCCCTCTTCTCCATATAGGCAGAATGGGTTTAGAGTTTTCCTTTTCTGGGTTCTGGTGACTTTGTTTGCCTGTGTGTTTATCAAATGGTAGACTTCTCTGAGGACCTATAAAAAGGCACGACTTGCATTGCAAGCATCAGTGTAGCCCTGCTGAATCCAGTTGTTCAGGACTTTGCAGGCTGCAGTGATCATTTCAGTACCATGAACAGATCACATCGTTGCTGCCAGAAGACTGCATCATCACCTCTGCCAGCAGAAATGCCATACTCCTCCCAGCCTGAACAGAAAAGTCCTTTTCAGATTAGAATGTCTTCTTAACACCACCCCTCCCCTTTTAAAGCACAAATACAGTGCTGCTCAATAGAGAGCATTTTGAGAATTCATAAAATTTTGAAAAGAGACATTGCTGGTGTCTCTCTTTAAAAAGTGGGAGGAAAGTGCATCCACCCTAAATTAGCCCTGCAGTCCCTTCCGTTCTTCTCTTCATAAGCGTGCTTTGTAGTTGTGCACTCTCCTCAGGCACAAACCATTCTAAGACTACTTTCAGAGAATTGTCAGCTCTTTGTAAGTATCCCTTAGAGAAGATAAGAACCACTATCCCTTTAAAGAAATGTCTTTGGGAGGAAGGAAATATTTTATTTTTATAAATTTCACCATGCCTCCATGAAAACTTGCAAACTAGAAATGGCAAGGTTTGTAATGAAAAACTGAAAAATAAAATCTGTTGTTACTTCAAAATAATCTATATTCTGTACTAAATCTAAATGTGAGGTTATTGCAATTTAAGATACATGGCTTGACAGGAACAAATATGAAGTTTAATTTGGAGAGTGAAAAATATACACAGCTTAGAAAGTGTGCAAGTTGTTTCATTGCTGTAGGCTTTGAATCTCAATTGTTAATAACTCTTTTGATGTATCAGGAATGTGCATTTTGACAGTTATTCATGATCTTTTCTCCATCATGTGAAACATTCAGTTAGTCATACTTGTTTAGAAACTTAGAGGCTAGAGGCTCTCCTCATATATCAACTGGACAGATTGTCTAAATTATACTGTACTGAATCCTACAGTAAGTTTTGGGGAATGCTGCAATCTGACAAAAGGTGTTTGGATCTAACTGTGATCATCTTGGCTAACAGAGGGCTAGTTATTGGCAAGCTCTTTAACCTTTCCATTATCTGGATTTGATCAGCAACAAAGTGATTTAGGCACTATACCAAAAATAAGAAAAAGAAAAGGAGTTGGGGAGCCAGGCAAATGTCAGAGAGGGTTTTTCTTGTGTTTGTTTTACGTGAAAAAAAAAAAAAATGCAGGGAGCTCTCAAAGAAAGAGACGTTGGCAAGAGTGGTGTAGATATTCCAAAAGGATGTGTTTGTCTTTTGCAGCAAAATTCACTGAGTTTCCACGGAACGTGACTGCGATAGAGGGGCAGAATGTGGAGATGTCCTGTGCTTTCCAGAGCGGCTCGGCCTCAGTGTACCTTGAGATCCAGTGGTGGTTCCTGCGAGGACCTGAGGACCTGGAGCCTGTGGCCGAGGTGGCTGGTGCACAGGTAGTAGAATCAGACAGCTCGCAATACCTCCTGTGTCTCTACCCCACTCACTCCCCAACTCCTGGGGGTGGGGGCAAGATGGTGCCTGGCCTCCCAGGTACCAGCCTGACGCTCTCTGGGTGAGAGACATCCAGGGACCACAGAGAGTGAGAGGGAATTTGCCTCAGTGACACTAGGTAAAGGCAAGGAGGAAGTCTGAAACGGGGAAGATGCTCCTCCTCTTGATATTCAACATTAGAAGATGTTCAGTAGAACACGACCTTGTCGACCGTCCCCAGGGTAGGGTGGGGAATCCTGGGGGGGGGGGTCTCATTCCCCCTATGGACCAGATCCTCACGTCTATCTGTTCTTAATGTGAAGAGGTTGGGCAAAGCGGAGGGAGGGAGAGGACTAAAGAGGAGAGAGGAGGGAAGGGAAGGGGAAGGGAGGAGAAAAAAAGGAGGGGGACAGGAAAGGAAGAATGTAAGAGGGAGAGAAAGAGAAGGAAGGAGGAAGAGAAAGGGAGGGAAAGAGGAAGAAAATATGAGGAAGGACGAGGGAGGAGAAAGAAGAGAGGGAAGGATGTAGGACAGAAGGAAAGAGATCAGAAAGGAGGGTGGAGAGAAGGGGAGGAATGTGGGAACGCGTGAGAAAGGAGAAGAGGAAACGGAAAGTGAAGGAGGGAAGAGAGGAAAAGAGAGGTCGCAGCGGAATAAGGAGACAGAATGGAGCAAAAGAGGCGGTGGTCCCCTCTGAGAGAGAAAAAAAAAAAAAAAAAAAAAAACCAGTGGAAGACAACCAGGAGGAGAAAGGCAGCTGGGAGCCACAGGGGACAAAGATGCAGGAACTCCTTCCGGGAACTTCCACCCACACGCTCGTCTGGACAAACCGAACCTTACTTCCTTACTACTCCAGGCATCGCCCAGCCTACACAGATCCCAGCAAGAGTCGGATCTGAGGTGCGCTCGGCCCCTTGGCTTAACTCCCTGGACGCAGCTTTTGCGCGCGCTAGTAGCCGCCGAGGGCTCCAATGGTGCAGTCGTGACTGCCACCATCCAGCAGCAGGAGGAATCGGCCGCCTACAGACTGCCATTTGAGGCAGGCAGCCAAATTTCTAGAGGAGGAAGTGAACATGGATGGGGCATTTGTTCCCCTCTCCTTTCTCTTTTCCAAATCACCTCAATTAGAATGTTTCAATAACCACAGAGGCATTAGTCTTGAATGATAGACTCCGCACGACCTAGCGCCAGGTGCGCCTGGGTCAGGGACTATTCGGATGATCTGGTCCGGGGAAGGGGTCTGGGGCCCAGCCTGGCTTGAGCTTTTGTGTCTTTCTCCCACAGGTGGAGCTCTTACCTGAGAGAGACCCGGACAACGACGGGACCAAAATTAGCGTGAGTATTCATAGGGACAGGCGACAGGGGAGCATGCCTTACTCAGCTCCCAGGCAGACCCGAGGTGGACATTAGTTCAAGAATTTTCAGATATTTTAGAACCTTTCATGTTATCCCTATTTACTGTCCATGAGAAAGGCCCTTTTGCAAACACAGTTGAGAGCCAGTCTTTCTCTTACCAATAATTGAAACAAATTTAGATTTTACTCATGTAAATAGTTAACCAGTGAGCTAGAGAATCATTTTGTAACCCAAAGACTTTGTATAAAACTTTTTTTCCCCTGATCTTTGTAACAGTTACATTACTGTAGTAAGAGTAAAGGACTGCAATATTATTATCTATTCAAAATTACAGAAACATTTTTATTATTATTATTGTGATTTGGGTAAAAGCTTACAGAGCAAATTCACTTTCCATACAGCAGTTCACATAAACTTTGTCTCATGACGTTGACTATAATTTCCCACAATGCAACAGCTCCCCTCCCACTTCCTCCCCATAGTTACCTCTTCCCTGTGTCCTTCCTTCCATGCACTCCTGCTCCCCAAGCTGTCTCCCTGTGCATATGTAGCCCTTTCATTCTCCCTTGATTGTTCTCTCTAAGGAGTGTATCTACCTAGTGTAAATGTTCACCTCATTTCACCTCATGTCTTCTGAAACAATTATTCTTTAGTGGAAAGTAAAATATTACCATAGACAAATCTTCCTCCATGAAGTTAAAACATCTGATAGGAGGTTATCTATTTAAAGAATAAAACTCACTTCAGAATGTCATTCATAATACTCAATAAAATATATGCAATGTATTTCTCATGCCAGGGTTCAAAATCATATGCTGATATAAATCTGAAAAGCATAATCAGAGGAGGCTGACCTATTGAAAATATAGAGATATATTTCTACTCTACAGGTCATTACTTTTAATAGTTTAGTATAAAACTGAAAAAAAAAAGGAAATTTTATTATTATTTTTTATTATGTCTCAAAAGAAGCCACATAGAATCACTTTATATTAACAAAACTACTTCACTTATGAATGAATAGTAAACAAGTTCTTATTACTAGAAAGGAAATTATTTTTTTAATAAGAAAGAAGAAATATATATATATTTTTTAGGAAAGTAAAAATTTAATTATCCCATGATTCTCTGAATCCAATATTCTTAAACTGAAATTTATGTGAAATCTCTTACAATACATAAAATAGTATAAGATTGGGGTTACACATATCTTAAAGTATGAAAATATACTCTACTCATAGAATCAAGTTCTATGTTCTAATTGTGCAATATCAACACGGAAGAAAATATCAAATGTATGTGTTATAAAACAGCAACTCCAATTTATATTCATAAAGGCACTGACTTTTTAGAATATTCTAATTTCAATTATTCTTATATCACAGGAATGCAATACCAGAAAAGAATTACTAGTAAAATCAATTATGAAGAACAAATTTTTCTCAAATATTTCATTTTTCACATGCTTATATATATAACTGGAGAGATTATATGTGGTTAACTCATCTTTCAACCTTTACAGATACCCATATCTCCCAAAGACCAGTAACAAAATATAGCCTCACACACTCTGCCCTAAAGATGCATAAATACAAATACATAATTACATTTACAATCATACATGAAACTGCTAATGATATGATCTATGTCAATATTTCATAAAATCTAGTGAACTGAAAAGAGTTCCAGATACAAACATAGGTAGAAAGTAGTCTCCATTTTACCCAAGATGTGACCTTGAAAAGATCTCCCAAACAAGCAGTTATTAACTTAAAATTCCCTAGAGAGGTTTTATAAACTACTGATGCTGGCTCCACCCCCTAGAGATGCAGACTTAATAGTTTGCATTAACCCATGTGAGAGTATTTTTTAAAAACTCCTGAGGTAATTCTAATGTCCAGCTACACGTGGGAATCACTGACCCAAACCTCTTGAGGCTTATTTTACTCAACTTTAAAATGGGCTATTAATAATATAAATACTCTGGCTGCCTCAAACTTTATTAGGAGATTCAACTGAGAATATACCTGAAATCATTAATTTCCATTATTTTTTCTATTAGCAGTTATATGTAATTTGGCATTTACATTAATACATATTTATGATTATGATCTGAACATTGAAAAGTATTTATATGTAAATCTCAACATGTATAAAACAAATGAACATTTACCAAGTTTTTCTAACCATTTATAGCCACTTGAAAGTGTGATGGCTGATGGCCAGTAACCAAATAAACAAATCTCTGACTTCTTCACTTCTTTTCCCTATCTTCAAAATCATCCAAATTATTAAATTCTGAATGTTTTATAAAATCCACTAATCTATCAATTATGAATATATGTTAAATCTCAGACTTATAGGTATATATACACACACACACACACACACGCACACATATGTATATGTATATATATATATATATATATACATATATCACTATTAATCTGGAATAAAAATTATTAGAAGAAATAACTGAGTAAATTTCAGTTTTACAAACTACACTATTGTTTAATTGATGACATCCTAAGTTTCAGTACTACAAAGTCTCTGTGATGGCAAGGGCTATATACTCTCAGCCACAGACTTCAAATGATATTAATCCTGCCACTATAAGACTGCACCAAAATGTTGAGAAGAAAATTCTCTAGTACTCAGGTTATTTTTTCAGTGTCTTTAGGAGTCATTCCAATGTGCACATAAAGGTGCATCATAAACTAAATAAACCCCACTGTGACAAACAAAATATTTTTGTGACCTCTCAGAGTTGAGAGGCTTAATTTATAGTCCACAGTGAAGAAAAGAGGCAACATAAACTATAGACTCAGTCTCATTTTAATTTGTTTGGTCAGTCTCATTTAGTGTGGGTTTATTCAACTGAGTGAACTAGGCAGACATTGGTCCCATGATTAGAAAATAACAGAGCTGCCACTGGAACCTGGAAAATGAGTCATTGAAGCTGGGGCTGAATGGTTTGAACGCATGATCCTTTGATTCAGTGAATCCAGTTGTTAGTAGAATAGGATGAAAAAAAGACCTTTAAATTTTATTGTTGAGAAGATTAAAAAAAAGAAAAGAAAACCTCCTTGATTATGAGTGTGAAGTCCTTCAAAACCAAGTCAAACCACTGGCTCATGTGTTACAGAGTAGAACTGCTTTTCTTTGCTTTAATCTTAACAGGAGTAGATCACCAAGCCTTTCATCCATGGTACCACTGTTGTTGTTGTTGTTATGTGCCGTCGAGTCAGCCCTGACTCATAGCGACCCCTCCTTGGGTTTCCGAGGCAGTATCACTACGGAAGTAGGATTGCCCTACCTTCCTTCCGAGGAGTGGTAGGTACCACTAGATGAGTTCAAATCACCAACCTTTAAGTTATGACTCAAATGCAAAACATTTGCAGCACCTAGGGACCTATAAGACATTAACACCTTTTAGTTTTCAAACATTAGCAAGTTCCACGTGAAGAATATGAACAAAACCATGTAATATAGCACTTGATATTTTTTACCTGCAATTTTTCAGACAGTGAAAGTCCAAGGCAATGACATCTCCCACAAGCTTCAGATATCCAAAGTGAGGAAAAAGGATGAAGGCTTATATGAGTGCAGGGTGACCGATGCCAATTATGGAGAGCTTCAAGAACACAAGGCCCAGGCCTACTTGAAAGTCAACACCAACAGCCATGCACGGAGGATGCAGGCCTTTGAAGCCTCTCCCATGTGGCTGCAAGACATGAAACCTCGCAAAAACGTCTCTTCAGCTGTTCCCAGCAGCATCCACAGCTCTGCCAATCAGCAGCGTGCGCACTCGACCTCCAGCCCTCAAGCGGTAGCCAAAATCCCCAAACAAAGTCCACAATCAGGTATGGAAACCCATTTTGAGCCTTTCATTTTACTCACAAACCCTCTACAGGAAGATCAGCCCAACAGAGTAGACAGATTTATATATGATGGTTTTTAAAATTGGAGACCTAGTGCAGTTGCAATAATGAGCTATTTGACATTGCAAGCCTGAGGCTGACCTTCATAGGGGAAGTGAGTTTGCCACATTAGTCACTGGCAGCACTTCGTATCCAGGGGATTTAAGATGTAGGCTCTTTTTTTTCCCCCTGTATTTATGCATTATAAAAACAATGAATCACGTAATGTTGGTTGCATTATAAATGCATGTTCATTTTCTCTACAAATTTATGTATCGATAATGACCCAAATTAAGAGACTTTCGCTTAATCAAAATGTAAATGCAAGAGACATACTGTATCATCCACATTTTCACTGACCCATAGCTTTCACAGGACTATTCTCCAAGGGCTTTTGATTTTGAAGGAGAAATTTCAGCCACACGTGATGAAAGTGATGATGATGATAATGGGAGAAAGTGAAGGGGGATGAAAGGCAATAAGTGGTGCAGAGATAAGGCAACTTCTGTAAATGTGCCTCTAATGCCAATTTAGAAGCTTAGTCACACACTTCCTAAGTCAGCTGTGCAAGTTAAAGCTGTTCTGAATAGCATTAATTTATGCAACCATTCAGCCAATGGAAACTCATTGAAGTTTTAACCTTGATGTGAGATTAATGTCTTCTTGGAATAAGCAATAACCAACACAACCTCATTGCTGTTGTGTGTGTGTGTGTGTATGTGTGTATGTGTGTTTTCCCAAGCACTTGACATAATATGACAGGACTTAAGGTACACACAAATATTTAATTTATCTATCTTTGAGCTTTTGCCTGTATATTTTAACACTGAAGAATTATGATATTGCTATTGGAAAGAGTAGAAAATTATAATCATACAAAAGTATATTGCTAGTATTCAAAGTCTCTTCAGCCATTAAATAAAATATCTTGTCACCTTATCAGAATGATTAGTGAGTGAGATAGATATCTTTAAGTCCCTATTCATGAACAATGTTTTTAAAATAATGTATGTCAAACTAGGTTTTCTCCTGATGCCTCATGTGTTTGTTGTTGTTGTTGTTATGTGCTGTCGAGTCAAACCCGACTCATAGCGACCCCTCCTTGGGTTTCCGAGGCAGTATCACTACGGAAGTAGGATTGCCCAACCTTCCTTCCGAGGAGTGGCTGG